GCGGAACTTACTGTTGAGTAGCTATGCAAAGAACAGAACACAAAGTCTCTAGAGAGGACAGCAGTTATTTTAAATAGGTAATGTTGATGCTCCATACTTCTGATTCAGTTTTATTTAAATTCATGTACAAAAGTATGCAGACTGCCACCAAATTGAAGATCTGTGCATTAAGAATTTATGCAAATAACCTGGCAAATTGTCACATTACGTTGATCTGAATCCCCGCCTCCCCTGGTGCTTTTGGGAAGAAATATAAGGGTGGAGAGAGGTATTGTTACTACATGATGGTGTAATGGCAGTTAGTATGCATGGCATGTTCACAAAAGTCAATGAATACATGAAAGACAAATCCATCAGTGGCTGCTAACAATCACAGCACCATTCAAACACAGTGCTGTGTTCTCAACTAGCAGATTCTGGAAATTAACAATTTGAGATGCATATTGCCATCATGTCTTGCTGGTGAATCTCCCCAAGGCATGAGTCTAACCACTGCCAATAGACAGGAAGCTGTGTTAAATGGGCCGTGGTTGCAACCTAGCATGGCACTTCTGCTCATAACACACATCCGAGTACAAACAGATCCAAATGCTAAACTAGAGGCTTCTGATACTCATTTATATTTCACCTGCTAAACATTTTTTAACCGAATCCAATTGCTAAGCAACAGTGCCACTCAGAGGCTAGTGAATCTGTAATGTGCAAAAAGATTGTTCGACTAATTTTCCTAAACAACAGTGGCACCCAGAGGCCAGTAAGGTACAATTTGCCATGGGATTATATTCAAAGATAATGTAATGAGGATTCCGAATCTAAATACTCATTATGGAATAATGTTTAGTGTATGTGGTCTATACCAACAGTACAGAGAATGATTTAATTGTTCTTTTATTGAACATACATGAAATTACAGTTTATCTCCTTCAAAATATGTTCCTTGTGAGCGAAGACATTGATTCCAGCATTGCTGTCACTTTTCATAGCATTGCAGGACATCTTCACTTGAGATGTTGTTCAAAGCCCTAGTCACAGCTTCCTGGATGTTTCAACTATCCCAAAGTGATGTCCTTTCAGGTGAGTTTTGACTTTGAAGAAAGAAATAACATGGAACCAAGTCAGAGTTATACGGAAGCTGGGGAGGCATTCAGAACACCCTTCATATGATGAGCCGCATTGTTCTCAGTTCTTGAAGTTGAAGGATGCTGTTCCAGACTCCACTGCACTTTTTGCCCATGACAAGATACAAAAACTACTATGTACTTTGCTAATGTATCGACTGTTACTAAGGCACAGATCCAATTGGGGAAGGTCAAACTGTATGCTTGGGTTCCTTCTCTACCTGTCTCAGTCCCCACTTTCATTTCATGGCCCTTGTGCGCTGGACATGAAAAAATCATTCTCATTACTTTTGGGACATATCACATAGGTACAATTGTATTGTTGATGCTGCAGGCTCCACATTTTTAACATTCATATTCTGAGAATTGAGATATACAACACTGCATCCTATAAAAGAGCTGGAAACGGGGATATAGCTTGTACACTCATGTATGAATCCAGAAATTTCAGTCAAAAAAATCAACCCATAAATTCTAGGTCAACTTACCAATGAGTCAATGTGAGGACTTTACTTTAACTGCTATCAAAAAAGGAATATTCTCTTTCTCTGAATAGAGTAGCAAAATACAAAAGCTTAATGTATCCTGAAAAAACCAAAAAGAAGCACTGACTCTGGGCCCTTCCACACAGTCCTATATCCCAGAATATCAAGGCAGAAAATCCCACAATATCTGCTTTGAACTGGCTTATATGAGCCAACACTCAGATAATGTGGGATTTTCTGCCTTGATATTCTGGGATATAGGGCTGTGTGGAAAAGCCTCCCTCTACTCTTTCTGACATGGCCACTTCTGCCCTTTTTGAATCCTATGATGGGGAAAGGATGGCAGCAACCAGTGCCAGTTGGCCCCAGAGGCAGCACTGATCCTTTCCTTCCTACATGGAATGACCCTTAGCTCATCCACAGGTCACATCAAAAACCACAGTTTTGGCCCCCAATCTGCCCTCAACTCATACATGAGTATATAGCAGGCATGGGCAAACTTTGTTCCTTCAGGTATTTTGGACTTCAGCTCCTGCAATTCCTAACAGCTGGTAGACTGTTAGGAATTGTGGGAGTTGAAGTCCAAAACACCTGGAGGAACAAAGTTTGCTCATGCCTTCTATATTGGTTAGTATGTCAGCAAAATTCCTAGAAGTGTTTTTACAAAATCACACAAAAATTTACACAGGAATATAATCCATACATTTAATTACAGTATTTTAAGATTTATGCACACAGACATGTACCAGGCAATGCTTTCAAGACAGTCCCATTTTCCAATTTCTCGAGGTGTTACCAAGAAATGAAAGCTAAGATGGATCCATACAAAGAAGAGGCCTTGTTCTTAATTAATACGGTAGTTTCGAAATGAGAAATTAACAGATTTGCCTTTAGCAATTTCTAATTTCAGGGCTGTTATTTATTCCCATGGAGAAATACTAAGTTTTGCGTACCCACCCACATTCTATTACAATGACTGATGTTTTGCTAGTTATAACTTTACTCAGAAAAAAAACATATTTTGCCTGAACCTGGGAAAAGTGCCCAAATGCATCTCCAGAGGTGTTGAGCAGTACTATACCCATATTCCAAACATATACATAAAAATACAAAAAGGAATTTGATATAAAAAGTGTTAACGCATTTTAACACCTACCTAACTCAACATTTCTTAGAACAATTGTCCTGCAAACCTCAGAAGTGTGGGCTGTCCCAAAACACATTCTTCCTGAATAAAGGCTTTGAGTTGGAATATATTGATAGATTAACAATTTTATTTGTTCAGTTTTTTAAATGGTTTATGCGAGCTGTGAAGGACTCCAAGTCACTTTAACTATGGGAATGTTATGGGAATTTTAAAATACTGTTTATATTTTGTCCTCTTTTAATTTTTGCAGATTTGGTTTTTTAAATTGAATGCTGATGCTTTCATGTTAAACTGCATTGAGTCTCCTGCAGGAGAGATAAAAAGGGGGTATAAACAAATATACCAGCCAGCACGTCAACGACTTAAATCAAGAAATAGTTTTCTAAGATCTACAAAGACACTTGCTGGAACACCTCAGCAAGCGAGAGTCCAAGAGTGGCAGGCTCAAACCCAGAACCTCAATCAAATAGAGAGACTCCCCCCTGGGCACACAGAAAACTGGGCGACTTGGAAGGCGCTGAGCAGACTGCGCTCTGGCACCACGAGATGCAAAGCCAATCTTAAGAAATGGGGCTACAATGTGGAATCCACAACATGCAAATGTGGAGAGGAGCAAACCACTGACCACCTGCTGCAATGCAACCTGAGCATAATGGAGGACCTTCTTGCGGCAACACCAGAGGCACTCCAAGTGGCCAGATACTGGTCAAAGAACATTTAATCAACTACCAAGCTTGCAAACTTTGTGTTTTTTCTGTTTGTTTGTTTGTTTTCTTAAAAATGTAATACAAATATGTCTGGTTGCTCCTGACACGATAAATAAATAAATAAAATCATAATAAAATAATTTCTCTGACATTTTATGTAGACCTGGATGCTTTGGACCTAAACAAATAGATCTTAAGCCATTTTAACTTCGCAAATCCCATTGTCAATAAATACTGTAAATCATTCCTGTTCCTTTTCTCCTTTATTGATTAGTTACAGCAGACTACATTGTTTGGCATTCTAGGAAAACCTGGGTTGAAAGTTCTACTTCTCAACTGAAATGTGATGCTGCAACTGAAGAGTTCATCTACACTCTAGAATTAATGCAGTTTGATGCCACTTTAATCACCATGGCTCAGTGCTATAGAATCATAGGAGTTGTAGTTTTGCAGTCTCGGTTGCCTTCTCTGCCAAAGAGTGCAGGTGCCTCAGCAAACTACAACTCCTGTGTTTCTATAGCACTGAACCATAGCAGTTAGTGGTGTCAAACAGCATTAATTATACTGTAAATGGACCCTTAGCTGGCTATAAAAACTCTTATATCCATTTGTTTTCTCATTGGCAAAATACAAAAGTAAAATTCAGGGCCCTTCTACACAAATAAATATTATTATTATTATTATTATTATAGTCATATCATCCATAATAATAATAATAATAATAATAATAATTTGTTTAACTCCTGCCATCATTTCACAAATGGTACTCAGGGCAGCTTATAAAGTAGCACAACAAAAGTGCAACACAGAATACAACAAAATTTGCAACAACAAAAAAATCAATAAACAGCACCAATTAACATGAAATAAGAACTAACAAAATTAACCGAAGCAACTCAATTAAAGTAAAAAAAAACCCTAATAAAACACAACAATAGATTATAGCTTAAAACAGGTGATACAACCGAATAGCAGCCCATATCAACCGAATATTAAGGCAGAAAATCCCACAATATCTGCTTTGAACTGGGGTATACAGCCATATAATCCAGTTCAAAGCAGATCACGTGGGATTTTATTCAGCTGTGTGGAAGGAGCATCAGGGCCCCTTCCACACAGCCCTATATCCCAGAATATAAAGGCAGAAAATTCTGCATGATCTGCTTTGTATTGCAATTTATGGCAGTGTGGACTCAGATAACCCAGATCAAAGTAGATATTGTGGGATTTTCTGCCTTGATATTCTGGGATACAGGGCTGTGTGGAAGGGCCCTCGGTGTTTGTCAATCTGTGGCTTTGCAGATATTTTGAACATCAGCTCCAAGACTTCCAGACTGTTGGCGAGGGTGGCTGGAACTTCTGGGCACTGAAGTCCAAATCAGCTGGAGGACCTACGATTGGGAAACACTGGCAAAGTCTGGACTTCAACTCCCAGAATGCCTTGACTCAGGCCTTGCCTGCAGAGGCTTCTGGGAGTTGAAGTCCCAAATTTCCTAGAACGCCAGTGTGAGCACGACTCTATTATCTTTGTGTGCACTAGAGCGCCAACCGGAAAGGGAGCGAGAGCGTGTGTTTGCGAGTGGCGCATGCGCATTCTTTTGCTTGGACTGAGGAGAAAACGTGAGGGGAGGAAAGTAGCAGTGGTTTGGGGTGTCTTGTTGCCCCAGCAACGCGCCTACTAGGGACGATGGCGCAAGTTCTGAACCTCAACAATGAGGTGAGTTTATCCCGTCATGTCCAGCTCTGGAATCAGTTTCGCCTGCTTCAGGTGGCAGCTGGGAAAGTGAGGCAGGGAAGGAAGGGAAGTTGGAGAGGAGAGAGGAGGCCCCGAACGAGTGGGAGGGTCTTCGCTGGAGCTTAGAGGATGAAGTGTTATGAGGAGGAATTGGGGCTGATGAGATAGGTAACACTCAGGCAAGTTTATGGGATGACGGTTCCCAGAATGACCCAGTCAGTGACCACGCTGTCTGAGGGTTGGGTTGTGGTAGGGTTTTCGGGCTGTATGACCATGCTCTAGAAGCCCAGGCTACCAGTATTTAAAAAACCCCTCTAAAATCATCATAACAGTAAATAGAGAACAACAGGGAATTCCAGACAAGAAACACTCACGACCAGCTAATCACCTCTCAACAAAGGATTCCCCCAGGCAGTAAGAAGCGAGACCTTGAAACTGCTAGGCCATTAAATGCTAACCGCTTTGAGTCGCCCAAGGACTGAGAAAAGTGGTATATAAATGAAGTAAATAAATAAATATAAATAATCAAGGTGGCCAATTGCAACATCCGCAACTACCTCAAACAGACAAGAGTTCTTTTTCCCACCCTGAACATTCCAGAGATATATAATCCCCATCTTCCTAGTTTCCAACAGACCTCACAACCTCTGAGGATGCTTGCCACAGATGCAGGCAAAACATTAGGAGAGAATGCTTCTAGAACAGTGTTTCTCAACCTGGGGATTGGGACCCATGAGGGGGTCATGAGGGAATTTCAGAGGGGTCGCCAAAGACCATCAGAAAACAAATATTTCTGATATGATTAGGAACCTTTTTGACAGAGAAGGCTGAAGATCTCTCCACCTGTCCATCTTTTCCTTTTTGATATTGGTGAACTACAACTCCCAGAATTAAAAAAAAGCTCCCCCCCAACCCCACCAGTACTCAATGTTGGCCATGTAGGTAGTGTTACAAGTTTGGTGCAGATCCATTGTGAGCTGGGTTTAGAGTGCTCTTTCATTGTAGGTGAACTATAAATCCCAGTAACTACAACTTCCAAATGTCAAGGTCTATTTTCCCCAAACTCCAACGGTGTTCATATTTGTGCATTTTGAGTATTCGTGCCAAGTTTGGTCCAAATCCAACATTGTTTGAGTCCACAGTGCTCTCTGGATGCAGGTGAACTACAAAACTCAAGGTCAGTCCAGTTCAAAGCGGATAATGTGGGATTTTATTCAGCTGAGCAGAAGGAGCCCTAGAGTAGTGAAGAAGGGCACATCTGCATTGTAGAATGAATGCAGTTTGCGACCACTGTAGCTGCCATGGTTCCAGTCTACAGAATCTTGGGATTTCTATTTTTACAAGGTCTTCAGACTTCTCTGCCCAAGAGTGGTGGTGCCTCACCAAACTGCAACTCCTATGATTCCATAGCATGGAGCCATAGCAGCTAAAGTTCTGCCAAACTGCATTCATTCTGGAGTACAGATGCACCTTTAGTTGCTGAATCAACCATCATATCCCATTCATTATACTGCTGTGTTTTGCTTCATTCAGGCAATTGGATTTATACCCACATGCACCAGATCCCATCTGATCTTGTAAGCTAAGCAGGGTTGGCCCTGGTTAGTTCTTGGATAGGAGACAGCCAATGAATACCACGTGCTGTAGGCTTTATATAAGGAGAAGGACCTGGTAAAAACCACCCATGAAACCCTATGAAATTCATTAGATCACCATCTATCGACAGGTGACTTTGAAGGGATATTCATTCAGGACTTCCCAAATATTGGTGATAAATATGTCTTGGGCTTCAGCTCCCAAAATTCCTGACTGTTGGTCAAACTGTCTGGAGCTTCTGGGATTACATTAAAACACCTGGAGCAGGCATGGGCAAACTTTGGCTTTCCATGTGTTTTGGACTTCAACTCCCACAATTCCTAATAGCCTACCAGCTGTTAGGAATTGTGTGAGTTGAAGTCCAAAACACTTGGAAAGCCAGTTTGCCTATGCCTGACCTGGAGGAACAAAGTCAATTAGAACAATCTTTAGGTTCTAGGCTTTTCTTAATAGGATTATAAGTGTAGCAGTATTACCAAGGCAATACAGATGGTTCCTAAGTTACAAACATCTGACTTGCAAATTACTCATGGTTAAGAACAGGAGTGAGATTACAGGAAATGAGAGAACTCTACCCCTTGGAAGGGAAATGCACTCCTGAAATAGTTATCATGGATAAAAGGTGTCTCCACTGAAGCTTTATCACCAATCCTTGTTTCCCCAACAAGTTAATTTTTACAAAAGTCAATTATCTCAAGGACAGAAAGTGAGGTGAAATTTAAACCCTGGCACAGATAACAAAAGAAACACCATAGGGCTGTTAACCCTTTCTTATGCTATCCAAAGCTAATATATTTTTGCTGGAGTTACACTTAAAAATGCACCTGTTCTGACTTACAAATTCAATTTAAGAACTAACTTCAGAACCTATCTTGCTCATAACATGGGGACTGCCTCTATACAATATACTCCAAATATGGCTTCCTATAAGCATGCTGTATGTATCTTGTATAACCATTTCCTTGAATATGCCATATCCTGATCTCAGTACCTAAGCAGGGTCAGGGAAGTGTCTCATGCCAGGTGCTGTGTGCTATGTTCAGAGGAGTGCAATGGCAAAGCATCGCTGAATAAATCTCATCTAGGAAAACTTATAATAAGGTCACTGTAGTTGGAAAAGACACTACTAACAATACCAGGTGATTGAAGGTACATAACAAAAACACTGCTTTAATTGGTTCTTTGAAAAGCAACTTGTACCAAAAATGAATGCATTTATCATATCATGATCTTTCATCAATTGGGATTGCTGAAGTGAAATCTATTTTATTAATGGTCCCATGACAAAATATATATATATGTGAATGGACTGCAACTCATATCATGCCCGGTTAATCCCTCTCAAACTCCACTAGTACTTAAAGTTGGTCATGTTCGATAAGTGTGCCAAGTTTGCTCCATATCCGTCATCGGTGGGGCTCAGCCTACTCTCTCTGGCTTCATGGTGAACTATAATTTCCATCATGCTGGGTCAGTCCCCTCAGCTGCCTCCAATATGTTCTGTTGCCCAGGGGTGGGGATGTGTGCCACGTTCGATCAAGATCCATCCATCTGTAGATGCAAGGTGAACTACAACTCCCACCATGCTGGGTTAGCCCCCCCCCCCCCAAACCCCTCCAGTAGGTTTTGTTGGTCATGGAGGTTCTGTGTGCCATGTGTGGTTCAGATCCATCATAGGTGGGGGTCACAGGGTTCTTTGGATGTGGGTGAATTACAGCTTCCATCGTGCTGGGTCAGTCCTCCCAAACCCCACCAGAATTCAAAGTTGGCCATGTTGGGTATGTGTACCAAGTTTGGTCAAGATCCATCAGCAGTTGAATGCTCAGTGTTCTGTGGATGTGGGTGAACTACAACTCCCAGAGATTTTAAAGCCATTGTAGATCCCATCCCTTTTGGGAGAAACAGATTTGAGGAAAGGGATATTGATCAAATCTAAACTTTTAGTGTTGCTTTAGCAACATGACATGTTTCATTGATAATTTGGTTACATATAGAATTATATTATTAACAAGAAATTATGAAGTTTAAAATGTGCAGTTTGTTCTGCATCCATGTATTCAATCATCCATGGATTGAAAATATTTTTAAAGCCAAACCTTGATTTTATCATTTTATATAAGGCACACCTTTTTACCATGCCATTGTATATAATGGCACTTGAGCATCTACAGGTTTTGATAGCTACAGGAAGTCCTGGAATCAAATGCCAATTGATACCAAGGGAGAATTTATTTCAAATACTTTAATAAATATATACAGGTTGTTAATGGGAGTTTGGCCCATCTTTAATAGTGTTTTAAATTAGTGTTAGAAGCCACCATGGCTCTGTCCAGTACGCATTCCGTAACCCTCTGAGATGCACAAATTATTTGTCTCCTGTTGGGTAAGGAGGTAGTACTCATTGTTTTTTTGAGTGTCATTTCTACACAACCTGCAAAACGTATACAACTGAAAAACAAGACTTTAAAGTTCTGGCATTTTGCTTTATGTTGAACAATAGGGACAACCCCCACTGAATTCATTAGAATTTATTTCTTGGTATATATTGATAGATTGTATCAGCTGACATCCATACATGTGATACCAAATAGTTTGTGTAGCTTCCTCAAATGATACTTTAAAATGTTGCTAGAGGGCAGCACAAAATAAGTAATAAACTTTCCCCCTCATGTTGGCTTCTTCTTCACTTTCTCTTGTAAATATGTTTAATTTACAAGCTGATTACTTTAAATTTGGAAAAGTATAATGTTCCCAGAAGAATTTTATGTTTATTTTAGAACATTTCCGCCTTATGTATTACCCAGCTGATAACTTTGTAGGGCTTATGCAAGAAATTGCAGTGAAATACTGTATAAGAAGTTCATTGGCAATTTTATATAAATGCAACAAATAACTCAGATCTAGTTTTTCGATAATTATTTTTTTATATATAATTGTAACGATCCTAGTTGAATTACACAGGATGCACCAAACAGCCAGGCATCACCCATACTGTATCTTTGCATTTCATTTTTTTCTCTGCCTAAGTGTAGTATCTTACATTTCTCATTGTTGAAATTCATTTTCTTAGTTTTGGCCCAACTCTTTAATCTGTTAAGGTAATTTTGAATTCTGATCCTGTCTTCTGGAGTATTCGCTATCCTTCCTAATTTGGTGTCATCTGCTAACACGATAAGCATACCCTTTAAATAATAATAATAATCATCATCATCATCATCACGATCTGTCAACTGCAAAAGGCCACCTTACTTGGATCATTCGAAAATACATCACACAGTCCTAGACATGGGAAGTGTTCAACTTGTGATTTTGTGATATGAAATCCATCATATATATCTCGTTTGCTGTGACATACTGTGTTTTTGTGTCAGTAAAATAATAATAAC